TCCATACTGGGTACTCGGTAATATTGTTACTTTGTCCTTGCCTTTTCATCAACATTTTCTGTATATTTGTGCACACATCATTACTTTATCCTGATTGTATCTTCTGTCATTATGACCACTCTTTTCCAAACGTCTTCACTGGGTTTTCCTTCTCCTGCCTCTCCTTACATGTTGGTGTACCCCCAGGGTCTTCCACTCAGCCCTCTTCTCACCCTATATCCTATTGTTGAGGTTCTTGTTTGCTCCCGTGGCTTCAGGTATATGCTGACAACACCCACATATATTCCTATGCTCTCTTGAGCACCAGAGTTTTCTTCAGTGTACCTAATAGTCTTATCTATTTGGATAGTGCTATAAACTCATTATGCCCTCCACCCCAAATTCATATATTGAAGCCCTAACCTCACATGTGATTGTATTTGGAAGGTATTTGGATCTCCTTTGGGAGATAATTAGGTTTAGATGAGGTTATGAAAGTGAGGCCCTCATGATAGAATTAGTATCCTTGTAAGAAAAGACACCAGAAAGGAGTTTGCACTTTCTTCCTGCCACCCCTGGAACCATGTGAAGACACAGCAAGATGTCGACCATCTACAAGGCAGGAAGAGAGGCCTTAAGAGAGTCCCAGAGAATTCATGCTGGCATCTTGAGCTTAGACTTCCAGCCTCCAAAACTGTGAGAAAGTAAATTTCTGTTGTTTAAGCAACCCAGTCTACATGGTATTTTGTTATGACAGTATGAGCCACACAAAGATACCTAGCAAACAGATTGAATACAACATATGCAAAACTGAATAAATGGAGTATTTTCTTTTAAAACATGTATATATTTTCTTTCTCAGTTAATAGTAATTTAAGGTAGAAACGTTGGTCCCATTCTTTAGGTTCTCTCCTTGTCTCTCTCCAGGTTTGAAGGGAGAGTTGGGCTGCAAAGGGCACAACGAGCTGTTTGGGAATAACTGAAATGATGTCTGTCTTGATTATGGTACCAGTTTCACTGGTTTCAATCCAAAATGATTGAATTATGCATTTTAACTGTATACAGTTGATTGTACATGATTATAACTCAGTTGAGTTGGTTTAAAAAATTTGTAGGGATAGGGTCCCAGAGTCTATATTACTAATTTCCTGTAGCATACTTGGTTTTATTTCAACTATGACACAAGGTGATTCATTTGGCTGTCTTTATGCTGTCTCAGTATATCCTTTATGTTAGTAGCCATTCTCTTTTTTTCTCTGCTGACACTTCCATTGCTATTGTTTATTTACTGACTTTTTCTCCCAAATGATATGGGTCAGGGATCAGGGCCCGAACCTAGCTATGTCTTTTCTAAGGCGTAGATTGACTATGTGGTAGATCTTTATCTTTTAAATATCTATTTTGCCCTTTGTTTGAAGTTTGTCGTTGTGTTCAGAATGATTAAGGAATCAGCAGAAGTCTTTCTTATCCCTGGATTATTCAGGTCTCACTGTGCTGGAAAACTGTGTTGCAACTGTATCTAGAGTTGAGTGTCAAGGGTTAGTAGGCTCGTCTTGAGAGTCATAATGAGAAAGAGTGTTAAAGCCCATTAGAGAAGGGCTTTGTCCGTCAAAATGGAAGAGTTAGGTTTTTAATACAGTAGTAGCAGTACAGTCAGCCCGCTGTATCCACGGATTCACATCCATGGATTCAATCAACTGTAGATTAAAAATATTATGAGGAAAAACCAATAAAAAATAAGAATACAACAATAAAAACACAAATTTTAAAAACAGTATGGCAACTGTTTACATAGCATTTACCTTGTATTGGGGTATTATAAATAATCTGGAGACTAAAGTTTATGCAAAGATATGCATTGGTTATATGCAAATACTACACTATTTTATATAATGGATTTGAGAGTCTGTGGATTTTGATTTTAGGGGGATTCCTGGAAACAACCCCCCCATTGATAATGAGAGATGACTGTAGTAGTAGTCAGTAGTAGTAATAGTAGAAGTAATAACACAGGTAGTTATAGAAGTAATAGGAATAGTAAAGATCATAATAATGAAAGAAGAAAATATTTGCTGAATGCTTACTAGGTGCTGGATACTGTGTTATTTACATGAATTATTTTATTCAATCTCCACAATAACCTTGGAAAATAAGAATTGATATTTTTTTCCTTACTTTATAGATGAAGAAACAGACACAGAGAAATTGAGTAACATTCAAAATCACAGAGCTAGTAAGTAATAGGGCCAGATTCCTACCAGGCAGTAGTAATTACAATTATTGGGCCACGTGTGGTACCTCACACCTGTAATCCCAGCACTTTGGGAGGAGGCCAAGGCAGGCAGATCCCTTAAGGTCAGGAGTTCAAGACCAGCCTGGGCAACATGGCAAAACTCTGTCTCTACTAAAATACAAAAATTAGCTGGGCTTGCTGACACAACGCATGCCTGTAATCCCAGCTCCTCAAGAGGCTGAGGCACAAGAATCACTTGAACCCAGGAAGCCTCAAAAAAATTATTGAACAAATAAAACTAATGATCTACATATAGGCTCAGTGTTGAAGAATAGTCAGAATTTACTTAGTGCTGATTAGTTAAGTGTTATCAAATAAAAAATAAAATAGATGGGGCCAGGTGCGGTGACTCAAGCTTATCATCCCAGCACTTTGGGAGGCCAAGACGGGTGGATCAGTTGAGTCCAGGAGTTCAAGACCAGCCTGGGCAACACAGTGAAACGCCGTCTCTACTAAAAATAGAAAAAGATAGCTTGGCATGGTGGTACACGTCTGTAGTCCCAGTTACACTGGAAGCTGAGGCAAAAGAATTGCTTGAACCCTGGAGCTGAGATCGCCCCACTGCACTCCAGCTTGGGCAGCAGAGAGAGTGAGACTCTGTCTCTAAATAAATAAATAAATAAAAATTTAAAAATACATGAAATAAAATAGATGGGAGTAGAAGAGTATTCCAAAGAATGCATATATACAAAGAAGAAATTGTTTTAGGGTTGTGGTGAGCATTAAATAAAAATCATAGCACACTAGTGAATGGCAAATGGATAATAAATTCCAATTATTATTTTAATGATAATTTGATGGCCAGGCACGGTGGCTCATACCTGTAATCCCAGCACTTTGGGAGGCTGAGGTGGGTGGATCACCAGGTCAGGAGTTTGAGACCAGCCTGGCCAATATAGTGAAACTCTGTCTCTACTAAAAATACAAAAATTAGCTGGGCATGGTGGCACATGCCTGTAGTCCCAGCTACTTGGGAGGCTGAGGCAGAAGAATTTCTTGAACCTGGGAGGTGGAGGTTGCAGTGAGCCGAGATCGTGCCACTCTACTACAGCTTGGGCGGCAGAGTGAGACTTTGTCTAAAAAAAAGAAAATAGTAATTTGACTTAGGGAAGGAAGAAAACACCAGTGGCTCTTGTCTTTGTTTCCATGATCTCTGGAGAAATACACACACTCCTATATGTCTATATTTAGTACTTCATTATTTTTATAGCAGAACTTCAGATAAACATGTATATGATATAGGGATATAACTAAAATTTTGATAACATTATTCAACAACTCCAATCTCTACTGTATTTACATTTAATAAGGAACTCTATGCTATGACTTTTTCTAATGAATACAATGACTTTCATGAAAACAAATATGGCTAGGAAGGTTAGGGAAAGGTTATAAGCAAACGTTCTCACAAAGTTGCTGAAATAGGAAAGTAAAGGAAATAGCTCTTTTCCTGAAACCTTATCTGATAAAAAGAATTGTTTTATTTTGGGGTGATTTGGACAGGTATTTCTCTGTCATTTCGGAGGGCAAATTTTCATTTGACTTTAAAGACATGAAAAATTCCTTTTGCACATTTTTGTTTATTTATTATGACATCCTTTTAGGTACACAGGGTTATTTCAGTATGACTTGAAATATTAACTTTTGTTTTATGTGAAACACTTTTGTTTTTCTTTCTAGATGTCCAAGTTTGGTAAGACCAGAGTATTCATAATGAAGCGATCTCTCTGAAGTAGTTTCTTTTGTACGTCCGTAGGCTAGGATGGATTTTCTTTTACACCTATTCAGAGAATTTCTATTCAGTTTGTTATTAGTAATCACCCCCTAGTCACTTTCTTCAGGTCTGTTTTCTAGATAACAGTTCCCTAGTTTACACCCATATTGTGTATTATTCTTCCCTAAGTGTATTATCTTATACTTCTTTACATTAAATCTCATCTTGGACCTGTCCTTTCAAATCCCCAAGTTGTCCATAATCCATCCATGTACTTGATTGATCTTGTTTTCTTTTCTTTTTAATCCAGTCTGGCTTTGTATCATCTGCAAACTTGATCATACTTGAATGTACATTCTCCTCCAGCTCATTATGAGTGTGCTAGACAGGACAGTTGTCATTCCCGTGGGACCATGCCGGATATACTGCTGGATGCTCTCAGTTGCAACTACGTTGATAATAATTCATTGCTTCCTTCCCATGACAGAATTCTTTATCTACAGTGCTATACTGTTATCCAGGCAATGCCTCCACCATCTCTGCTTTCTGGATACTCCTATTTCAATCATTTTTTCCTAAGATTGACGTAAAAATTATTGTGCTCACTTATCTATGTAGGCCATTGCTTAATTTTTAAAAGAAGTTACTCAATCTGGGAAAATAGTGTCCTTAAATAGAAATTTCTCAAAAGTTTCCATTGAACATCAGTGAGTCTTTAAAAATACGTTAAGTGTGAAACATTTTGGAAGTGCTGCCTAAGTCTTTGCTTTCTCCATGGAAAGGGATCTCTAGTTATTTAAATTTTAAGAAAAACCATAATTATTTTTCTCACAGCTGAGAGAATGATTTAAATATATGTAAATTTTTTCTGAATGTCGATTATATTTTCAGTAAATTACTCTGCTTTGAGGTAGTTTTCTAGATGAGACGCAGTTCATTTATAATTTTCAGAGCATGATGTGGAGCCATTTGTTACTTTATTTTTAAAGTTACAGTTTTTTCCTTTATTTTCAGGAAAAAGAAGAAGTAGAGGGGATATCAGTAGGTGCTATACTTTCTGACTATCAGCGTATTCGAGTGGAAAATGTGTAAGAGAACATTAATTTGTTAATTTTAAAAGTGTATGTATTTTAAGAATGTGAATAAGTGAAAAATCAATAATTGTATTTAAATTATAAATAGGTGTGGTAGTCTGCGTGCTCCATGGAACTAAATGTATGTATTTACCTAAGTAACAAAAGTCATGCTTTTACTTTTTTCTATCCTTATATCACACATGAGGAAATTTAACTTAATTAGTATAAGGAAAAATAATCTATCATAGAATTGAGATAAATTTTTTAGTGAGAAGTATTGTCTTCATTTTTTTCTTACTTGATTTAGTATATCCTGTTAATCTCTTTTAACTCATCATTTGTAATAAAAATCAAGAGATAATAGAATCAATACAGTAATATTTTAAAGAAAAAAATGCTTACTAAGGAGTCATCTCTTCTTTGGTTCATATAATTCAGTTCTTGTCCAAAAATATCTATATGATTGAAGTACTTACATATAAAGCCATTCAACTTTCAAGGAATTTTTAGGATGTTCCTCCCCTCCTCCTAGCCCCTCTCTGCTCCCCTAAGGGAGGGAGCACTAGTGAAGCATTTAGTCTGTAGCTGCACATACCAAAACGGTCAATTCTATTGATCTATTCAAAAATCATGAGGTGAAATGATAATATTGGTTATTTAATGTTGGCCTGGCAAGACACGACCTGAATGAATTTACTTTTCATTTTTAATTTATCTAGATAAATATAATATTGTATAGAGATTCTGGGCATAGTTATATTAACAAAAAAAATTGGACTCCATTATTTTTCTTAAGCACAATTTGACCTACAAATAAGTTATTTTGCTGGTCAAAAGGATAAATAGAATAAGATAATGGCTGTATTTATATAATATTTTTATATTCTTGATAAAGAAACATTCCTATTTACTGTCTCATTTAAAACCTACATATTAATAGATTTGAAAATTTAAGTTTCATTTTTATTTTATTTATTTTCTCTCTAATTCCATGGTGGATTTAGGGCAGTTTAAAAAAAATACAGAATTTTAAGAGTGAATGAAGGGAAAACAGGGTAAAGCATAGTTAAGTGAAGAGAAATATGATCTTACATTTTAGAAGTGTATCAGAGTCTCTGGACGATGGATGATGATGGTGGAGTGGGGAAGAAGGTCATGTGTATTTTGAGAAAGTTTTCCTTGCATTCTACCTAGATGTAGATCTACCGTTGAGAACAACCGATCTACAGATGGAAATGAATTGCGTATCCCTTAAGCCGTACTTTAGAAGTAATAGTATTGTCATCAAGTTTTAGATCATGTTCTGAGAACTGTTAAAAATTAGTGTTTTTTAATAAGTTCAAACCCACATGCCTTAATGGGTAGCCAAACTGGAGATAGGGATGACATCTATTTATGAAAGTTAAAAAGCCAAATAAAAATGTGCTCCTGATTAGGAGGCTGCCCATTACATATATGTATATATATGGAAGAAGGGCACGCGTCATGCCCACGGGTAGAGACTTTCTCCGAACGCAGTCTCTGGTACACTTGAACACATGGTTAAACAGATGAGTAGATTTTATGTTATAAAGCATATCTGCAATTATTTTATCCTTGAAATTTCAAAAGTAATGTTACTGGCAGTCTGTTGGTCCACAAACTCAATTTTGAATTAGCCTATGACCAAATTTTAGTTTGTGTTGTATTATCATAATTTCAGAATGTAAAGTGTTTAATAGATGTCACAAGTTCAAATTCAGCAGTGATTTACAGAGTACTTTTATTTGAGCCATGATATTTTGAACTGTTAAAGAACTTAAATAGGAAAAAAATTTTACTTACGTCTATAGTCAAGAGGTTTTGAGGAATTTCAAAGCAACAACCACAAATTTTACAATAAGGACAGGAAAAAAACTTTTTTTTTAATAAAAAAGTAAGTCTTAGTTTAAAAAGGTAGAGAGGCTGTTTTGATTAGTCGGCCTTAAACATTGGGTGAGAGGACAGCAAGAACTAGTGTTTGTATTACATGGGTAGTTCACATTTTATTATTTTTGTATTTATTAACTGCTTCAGCATTGCTTAAATGCTCTGAGACATTTTAAAAGGGAAAATTACATGCAACAGTCTCTGCAATGAGGAAGGTTTTGGCTTTTTGAAAGTCAGGGTGTACGTAATGAAAAGCAATAATGATATTTGTAAGGCCATGTATGAGTAAATGACCAAACATGGTACATTTAATAAGTATTGGGATCTCTGAGAGAAGAGAGAGAGAGAGATCAGTATAGGCCAGAGTAGTCAGCCAAGCAACCTTACAGATGCTAGGGATGGTGGATTTTACTTATAAACCTTATAGACACTGGGTTTTAGAGCTATATTCTTGGTTTGGAATCTGATCTCAGCCAGTTAGTGTATGACTCGGGCAAGTCACTTGGCTTTGACTATCATTTATTGAATACCTATTTTATCCAGGCATTGTACTACATTATCTATATTACCTTTAATTGATTAAACAATTATAGTCCTTTCTGAGAAAGTGACATTTAAGCAAAGGCATGAAGCAAGTGAGATCACAACTAGTGTAAAGGCAAGAGTGAGCAGGCAGGCAGCAGTGGTAGGATGGAGTGAGAAGAGAGTAAGTAGTAGGAAATAAAGTGCATGAACTAAACAGGGCGAGATCCATGGAGTGATGGGGAGCCACTGGAGGGTTTTGAGCAGAGGAATACTATGATCTATTTAATGTCTTAAAAGGATCACATTGGCTGCTGTATGGATTTTAAAAGGGTGAGGGTGGAGCAGGGAAGGAAATTAGGATGTTGACATGAGAGAGAATGGTGGCTCAAACCAAGTTGTTAGCAGTGGTATTGGTGAGGAATAATCACATTCTGCGTTGTGGTAGATTGGATGTGGAATGTGAAGGAAAGGGAAGGATGATTTCATTTCACATTTTTTAATCCACTTAAGAACTTTGAAAGGAACTATTTTTGCCCCTATTTATGAACTAGGAAACTAAGCGCAAGGACTTCGATTTTACTTGACTTCAAAAGCCGTGCAGCTAGAGTACAAAATGAGGTTTTAAATTCAGATGCGTCTTCACTCCAAAACCTATCTTTTTTCTACTTTACCAATAATGGAAAATATCTTGTACAGTGCCTGCAGCATTGTACTTTTTGTTCTTAGTATTTTCTTTTTATTCACAATCAAATTCTTAAAAAAAAAATCAAAGTTAGGAGTTTAGAATAATTCACATAACTATAGTTATTGTTAATTTAATCAATATGTGGCTGTTTTATTAGGATAAATTATTTGCCCACTTTACATATGCTTCAAAATTTTGATACCCATGGAAGTTTTAAAACAGAGAGAATACTGGCATTTGTAAACTCTTTTAATAGATTACTAAATTAAGAGTCTTACTAAAATTAATATTTCTAGTATGCCTAGAAATTCCATTTTTATCAGTTTATGCATAGCCCATGGAAATTAAATATGTTTATGTTGTATATATAAACTTCATTATGCAAAATATGTTTTTAAAAGCATTTTCAATGCTAAAATCCTTGAACGAAGCATTATGTTTCAAATCAAAGTAATTGCTGTGGATCCAAGTATAAAATATTAAGATATCATCTGACTTTCTTTTTCTTTTTCTTTTGTAGGTGTAAAAGGCTTAATCTCCAGCCTTTAGCTTACCTTTGGCAGAGAAACCAGGAAGATTTGCTCAGAGAGATGATATCATCTAACATTCAAGCAATGATCATCAAAGTAGCAGCTTTGGGTATGCAGCCAAACTATCAAGGGAGCTGTTTGTTGCCACATAGATAATCTCAATTCACTAATAAGTAGTTACAATGAACAAAGAAAACTGATTTAGAATATAAAAATGTGGAGTCACAGCTGAAGAAATTGAGTAAGCACCTTCCTTGCATGAAGAAAGGGAAGTTTTAAAATGGGCTTTTGACCATTTGCCAAAGTGATTACTAGTAAGGCTTTTTTTTTTTTTTTTTTTTTAAATATATAACTGGTTCTAAAACTGATATTGTATTATAGTCCTTCAATTTAAGTTGTTTTTTTTTTTTTAGGGTTTGAAATTTAGGCTTGTTGGAGACAGGAAATACAAGGGTTATTTTTGTTTTGTTTTGGAGTTTTTTGGAAGCTTCTTGCAATATGTATTTGACACAAAACATGATATATTCCTTGTATTTTTTAACATATTTTGAATAATGCTAAAATATAATGATGGTTTTGTTTTTGTTATAAAAAATAGATAGGATACTGGTTTTTGTTGGAGGTGGTGAGAAAATCACGTTTGAGAAAATGTTACCTGATTAGTTAGCATAGACGCAGCAGGCAGGTGGTAATCTGATTCAAGTATGGACATTACATATGAACACATTTAATTTATTTGGAATTGCTGTAATTATATTAATTTTTGAGAAACCATAGGGTTTGAGCCCAGTCCGTTCATTTCGTGAACCTGTTATAGAAAATGCCCTGAAGCCTGAGAGTTCCCAAAGCCTAAATCATGTACCTCATTTGAGAGAGTTTACCTTGCTCGAGGTCTCGAGCTGTAGAAGATTTTACAGATACATTCACTTTTTAAATAAAATTAAGAGAAAGAGTACAGACCCCATAATGTTTCTCCGTGGTAAATACCAAGCTGCTCTATTCTTGCTGAAGTTGAAGTGTTGTCTTCAGTTGAAAGCTTTATTTAGTGAATCTGTAGCTGATCTCCTTAGCTGTTAAAACGAGAAAGATTGAGTGGTATTATATTATTATTTCTGAGAAAAGGTTGCCGAGCAGCTCTCATGATTAACGATCTCATTATAAATGTATTTGTCATATGAATTTCTGGGTGATTCTGTACAGAGTATTCCCTCTTGCTTTTTCTTTGTCTCTCGCTCTCTCTTTGAATATTCTAAGATTACATAGTTCTGTAATGAAGTTCACGTGACATCTCACTGAAAGGTACACATACTATTCCTTTTACTGCCAGATAGATAAAAGACTGGATTAGAACCCAGAGAGACCTCCCTTATTGAAAAGGTAGTCAAAGAATTTGACCTTATTGCCATCTTTTAATAGTATATGACCGATATTGTGTGTTCTTTCATTTCTATGTGTGCGTCTCTGTAGGGATTAGAGATGGGGAATTAGCTTTATCAAGCCTTTGGGTAAAATGTAAAAACCGAGCAGATTTGTCTTTGGCATCTCAGTAACGAAAATATAGATCTGATTTTAACATTTACAGCACATGGTTTCTACTGACTGCCTATAGGTGTGCAAAGATGAAAGTTATTCTTTAGAATAATATTAAGAAAGATAGTACTTCTGAAGACATAGAAACATATAAATGATGCAATATAGGTTGCTAAGCCTTTTTTCTCCCATTTAAAATTGTCAGAACAGGATTTAAGCCAAAAAAAAAAAGGGACAATAAGACCTTTCTATAGGGGAGAGGGATCAGTAAAATTTTGTGGACCATTTTTCTATGAAATGGTCTTATAATAGAAAAGGGTCAGTTCTACATGAATACATACAAATATATTTTTTATAATTATGTTACATAACCTTTATGTCTTATAGGCATCAATGAACTCATAAAATTTCTGGCTTCTTTGTTTCATTATAATGTTTTAAGGGACTCATCCATATTATTGAATGAAGCAATAGTGTGTTCATTTATATTGTAGTATAGTGTTCCCTTGTGGGAGACTCTAATTAACTTATCACACCACAATTTAATTGTCCATTCTATTATTGATGGCATATGGGTGGTATCCAGTTTGGCACTGTGATAAACAATGCTGCCACGAAGTGGTCATCTTACACATTTTCGGTCCCAGAGCTAGAACATCCTTTTTTTCAGGAAGCCCTGATTTCTTTGAACGTGAAATGATATATGTCTGTATGTGTGTATCTAATGACTCATGAGTTCATGATATTTCAAAATCAAATTCAAGACAACATAAGGATTATAATAATTCTGTATTCTATCTCTGCCTTCTTTCTTCCACAGTATATCTTGATTATCAAGGTCACAAGAGATATTATTTATTAGAAAATCCCATAATTTGGGGGAACAAAAAGACCAAATAGCAGATCTATTATCCGTTCTTTCCAGTAACTGGGGTAGGCTTCCTGGAAAGAAAGAAGGAAGAACTTCTATAATCTTCCTGCAAATATAATTACAGACCTCATGGCAAAAAAAACATACAAAGAAACAAAAAAATCACTAAGGGTATTTACTAGAGGGGAAGAGTATCTTTGGACTGCATTTAGCAGGATGTTATCTAGTTGCTAAAAAAGAGATAAATGATAAAGGGAAAATATGAAACCACTTTTACCTATCACTGGAAAAACCTCCTGTTTCTTGAAAGATATATTTGTTTCCAAAGTAACTAAATTGATCACTAGGAAAAACTGTACAGGTTTAAGGGTTAGTTTATTCAGTTAAATGATGGTGTAGTAGCATTGACTGTGAAAGGGAACAATGCTAGGACTCTACTTGTAAGGTTTCTAGGATTGGGAGATAGGAATGAGGTGATGGGGGAGGATGCAAGTTCCCAACTATATATCTTTCCCATTTCATAGATTTTTTTATTAGTTTTCCCTGATCTAATGGTCCTAGGCCCGAGTTTAAAGTTGCACATACCAAAGGAAAGTGTTGTCAGTGCACAAAACACAATATCAATAGCATTACATTTGACAGTGCATATTCTTAAAGGCCTTTAGGGGTGTGAATAACTTCACTCTGTGTAGGCAAATTAAGGCCTGTCCATAAACACAAGCCAAGTGTCTTGTGATTCTTATGTGTCAAATCCTGTAATATCTGCCAAGGAGAAGTGCTAACAAGGCTGCTGTTTTACTGTCCCTGTGGGTTTATAATACAACCGTTGAACCAGTTAGCCCAATCGTGGGGAAAAGGGTATGGGTCAAAACAGGTAATAGATGGAAATGGGAGGATGTGTAAGAGATAGAAAGGCACTTATACGTGAATTCAAGTTCTGTGGAGAGATGTAACCATGTGACCTAACATGGCAGAGCCTCAGAGCTAGAAAATAACAAGGTAGGTGGTATCTCTCCTTGGTAAATGCCGAGCTACTCTATTCTTGCTGAAGTTGAGTTGTTGTCTTGGATATCTCTCTCAAATTTGATGCTAACCTAACTGATGTTGAGAGAACACTTTGGATGTGTTTTCTGGAGAGAAGGGAAATTGGTGATGTACAGCTCTACTTAAAGATTCCACCTATGGCCTGTAATCCCAGCAGTTTGGGAGGCCGAGGCAGGCGTATCATGAAGGTCAGGAGATCGAGACCATCCTGGCTAATACGGTGAAACCC